TCGAACATACAGTTGTGCATGCAGTTGAGTGCAGAGCTCAGCGAATAATCAGAGCACCAATGTATATACGTTCGTAAACAGACCTATGATTGAACCTTTGGCATTGTACCGACTTTTCACTGATCGAGTTTAACTCCATCATAACTTGACGGGTGAATTAAATCATGGATGCGACCCATTCGGTCTGATAAATAAATACTCTTCTTTGCCTATCCTATGGTATATCATATCGCATAAGTAGGCTTTTTCTGGGGCATGAATAGTGCAACTGAATATTTACCCGTCATGGGTTTACAAAATGCGTCCTTGATTTGAAATGACATTTGATTTGAATCATCCCAAATAGATGTCATTCTTCAACTAAGTATTTATGCGCAACACACAAGCAGAACATATAGGTAGATGCTGGTGACAACGAAGTTAACATACGTGTTCAGATAGAAAAGACACGGTCAGCAGTCCGATGGAATTCAGCTTAACAATACTTTACGAGAAAACAATAGCTAGCTCGCAACGTGCAGGTAAATCGAACATTCCCTCGCAAAGCTGAAAATTGTTGACGTAAACGTGATCAACCAAGTCAATTACAACATACAAAATTCTCAATGATATTAATTAGCCTATTGAAGCGCACTCTCATTAAGTTACCCAGAACTGGCGCATTTTTAAATGTTCAAAACCTAGTCCATCATAAAATGCGGAGAGAGTAAATATTTAATATTAACGCCGTTAGCATTCTTAAAGAACCAATGTTTAATACTCCATTTCATTAAATACCTTGGTTTCGGGCATATGTTTTGCAGCTGCATATTCAGCAAACGTGGATGCACAATGCACTTGCTTGATTTGCCTTGACAGTACATTCCATCTGAAACAACCCATCTGGTAGCCTTCCCTCAGGTAAGCTTTCATGCACAATTAATATAAGAAATCGAGTTGCATGCTTGTGATTAAAGTGTAAACGAGAATACATGAGTGTACAGATCGATAGGACGGTTGGGTAGGTAGATACATATGGCTACCGGCTGCGAAGATGAGGGTTAATTAGATTTACTTGGATCATTATTCCGACGTTGATAATAAGCTAGTACACAGCATGCAAGTTTGCGCTCCCAATGCACCGCGTCAATAAAGTAGTAATATAAAGGAATTAGAGGAATATGCCAACGTATTTAAGACTGTTGGAATGAAACTCACTGAGATCGATTAGAAAACGTCCGTATGCCGTTTTCTGATATGGGGTATTACCACCAGACAGATGAGATTGAATGTTTGCGCCCAGTGCTTCGCCTTGGAGAAATATCCAACTAAGTGGAAACAGTTTTCTTCTCGAATAGCCACCACGTAGAATAAGAAAGGCTCCACATATAGTATACTGTTTTGTGGTCCAAAAATAAATTGCATGCAAACATAGCTGCTGACAATATAGCCGCGATTGGCATCCGTCTACCTCAAAAACGGACACATATCTACAACGATAAATTTCATTTCCAGGGGGCTAGCGGAAGGGACACTTTTCCTCAGCAGGTCTATTGAGCATGGGGAGAGGGCATTTGCACATGTTGAGCCAGAGATAAAGTGCTCGTTCAACCGCCTCAACCACCATGTTGTTAGCTACAAGTTTATGGCAGCTGGAACACATGATTTGAGTAGCAATTTGTGTTTGGGTAGTTTGATGATAGTATCTTCATGATTATTTCATTGGCAACTTAAGTGGATGACGCAATGGCAACATACGGGCACCTCGTCGGAGCATGCAGTATATGTTCTGTTTGCTTTGTCCCCCTGGGATGAATATCTCCAAAGAGAATGAACTGTTCGAACCTGGTATATGGCTGCGCTGTGTCTGGGGGAATTGATGCAATATCGAATGTCCCTTGTAACGTAATCTGACGATGTTAATATGCAAGTCCGTGCATGATACGCAGCACAATGTGTCAACCTACTCAGTATCCAGTGAAAAGCCTCTGCATCAATTTAGGATTTAGAGTATTGGTTTATTAGCTGCTTATTCGTCCCAGCAGATGTAGTTTAGTGCTCATTATCATCCATCATTATGCACGTTAGCTGCAGGTGGAAAGCACCTCAGCTATTGTGCCGCAATACAAAAGACAAGAAAAGGGAAACAAACAGTGGCACGCCGGCTGAATCCTCAGTAGCGGATGGAGATCTAACAGCTGGCTATCGTGCCGTGAAAAGAGAGTGATATTATGCCTAACGAGTGGGATGCTAAGCAGGAGGGGGATGGACGAAGGAACTCACAACACAAACGCCATTGGGGCCGGCTCCAAGCCATATCAGCAAGTGTGTCCATCCAAACGTGTTCACCGTCCTTAGGACCCCAGCCAGGCAGTCGGGATGCACCAACCAACGCCAACTTGGAAGTGAGGGTTTTCATCTCTCTCGACCAAGTCATCGCTTGGCCTCCCCTTCTCCTCTTCAAACCGAAACGAAAACACGTAAACAACGCACGTCGCGGAACTCGACCACCGGAGCCTGTTGCGTAATATAATGACGCTGAGCGGTTCACTCTCTCTTCCTGCACCAAATACGCGACGCCGAACACGCTCATTGCTCACGCGCTGCTCCCACCAGACATGAGCTAAGCTATGAAAGCAGCGATGATCGAATGTGACGAGCCTCATTATGTCTGTCTTCCTGATAGGTCAGGTCTCACCACCATATATGCGAATTGAACGGACAACTGCGTTATAAACTCTGCCGTTCAGCGCGAGAGTAATGCGGGAGTAATGCTATGTAAAAACCAAATCTGCAACTGGAACAATACTCATGAAAATGCATTCAAAGCGATCAAGAAGCTCTTAGCAGCTACAAATGTTCTTGTGCATTAGGATCCGCAGAAGCCTGTTGTTCTTTCTTGTGACGCCTCATCTTACGGTCTCGGAGCTGTTTTAATGCACAAATTACCGAATGGCTCACAACGTCCCGTTGCTTATGCTTCAACAACCCTGACACCAGCAGAATGGAACTACTCTCAACTTGATCGAGAGGCAGCCGCTGTCATCTTCAGCACCACTCGATTTCACCAATATTTACTCGGGCGACCTTTCGTGATCCATACGGATCATAAACCTTTTATTTTCCTCATCGGCCACGAGGAAGGTATTCAACAAATGGCTTCACCTAGAATGGTACGTTGGTCGCTTATTCTTTCTGCATATGCATACGAAATTCAGTACGTTCCAGGCAAACAGAATACCACCGACAATGTTCTTAGCCGGCTTCCCTTACCAGAAACATCATCGAAAGAATTTATTCCACAAGAGCTCGTAAACCTGGTCCAGCATTGTAATGATTCCGTAGTCACATGTACAGACATACGTCATGAAACTGACAGAGACTCTGTTCTATCGTTGGTCAAACGCAATGTCCAAGTTGGGTGCCCGGAGAACACCCCCCAAAGAACTCATGCCCTTCCGTAACAGGATGTCTGAACTCAGCCTCCAGTATGGATGCTTGCTGTGGGGCGCAGCAGTTATTGTCCCCAAGAAATTTCGGTCACGTTTCCTTGACGAATTACATGATGCGCATCCAGGTGTCGCAAAGACGAAGTCGTTAGCTCGATTTTATGTGTGGTGGCCTGAATTAGACCGTGATATTGTGGCGAAGTTTGGAAGTTGCAGACCTTACCAGGAGACCCGAAACGCTGCTCCTCATGCGCCAATGCAGCCTTGGAAGTGGCCAGAAACACCCTGGAAACGAGTCCACGTAGACTATTTCGGTTCCTACGAAGGTCGGATGATTTTGCTAATCACCGATGCCCATTCTAAACGGATTGATGCCCATATTCCTGTTTTAGCAAATTCAGCTGGTACTATCGATAAACTACGCACAACCTTCGCATTATTTGGCCTTCCCGAGACATTAGTATCTGACAATGGACTAGCATTAGCCAGTGTTGAGTTTTCTACCTTCCTCAACTAGAACGGCATCAAATACATAACAACTGCACCCTATCATCCTTCTTCTAATGGGTTGGCGGAGAGAGCCGTACAAACAGTGAAAAAGCTGCTAATAAAACAACCAAATGCTCCGCTGCGTGTGCTTTTGGATCGTTCCTTGTTCGCATATGGAAATATACCAAACGAGACCATAGGTAGAGGCCCAACAGAGTTAATGTTTCGTCGTCGACTGCGTACGTGATTGGATTTATTGCATGGACCTATTGAGCCACAAGTTTCGGGAAACAACAACGAGTGAAAGAGCGTTTTGATACTTGTAGCAGAGACGGCATGTGACAGATTCAGATCCCATCTACATCCGCCTACCTACAGGCTCGGGGGGGGGGGCCAGCCGTCATTAAAACAACTAACGGACAGATAATAGAAGCAGAAACTGAAGAAGGCAGGATCGTTCGACTCCATTTAGATCATGTGCGACCGAGATTGTCAGACACAGAAACAGTTGCCGAGACAGAACAGCAAGCTCAAGCATCGAACGACATGCACGTGCGTGACACCGAACCGGTAGCTGAGTCACAATTGCGGCGCTCTGAGCGCCGACACCGACCGGGCAATCGTTTCCAAGCTGGATAGCTCCAACTAAAGGGGGGGAAAGTGATACAGACGTTGCGCGTCAAGGTATTGCTACACTACCTAGCCTGTGGAGCTGCATTGTGCGCGCTAGTGCGTAAGTTTCCATCTCCCGACTAACCAGCAATGCTTACTGATTGGTTCAAAAGCGAGTGCTTAGCTAACCATGTGAGCTGCGTAAAAACTAAACAGTTGATCTGTACCCAGTGTGGACTGCCGATGTACTATTGCCATTGCTTCTACTAAACTTCCATTTGCAATACTGTTGTTCTGATTTCGGTTGAGTGTAACAAGGAGTTATTGGTTTTATTCTGTCAAGCGACGTGGTTTTATACAGAATTTCTTGGAATCTCCATGCCTGCATGAACAAAGCTTATATATTCCTTTGAGAACGGTGGCCAAACATAATGGAAACAATAGCATGGACACAAAGACATCAAAACTTACAATGGGCCGCTTGTAAACCTTTCGCGTTTTTGAAGATTGAGCCTGTTAGGCAAAGAACCGAAGGGGTGAGGGCGATTACAGCAATAGTAACATTAAGGAGCACATATGTAAGGGTAAATAGAGAGAGGCGCATTTTCCAACCGTGTTAACGTAACATGTATTCTCCTGTCCTACCATTATCTATTAACTGTCGATTTTGTGTTTTCACATGGAAATAAAAGCAGGGTATGAAGAAGTAGCACGCTGGATATGCCTTGAAAAGCACAGGCGAATTATGTTGTCTTCATACGTGCATGTACGGACCATTAGCATGGGGGCTTGGCTAAACTTGTTACCTAGTATTGCCTGTATTGCAAAACCATTCATACTGGTGGCAAAATTAAGAGGGTAACCACCAAAAGCGTCCTATCCGGTAAGTGCGAAAGTGCGATGGTTTAACTATGGAGCCATAGAATGTATTGTCATAAGTCAGGGGTGTGTCGTCGTGACAGATACCGAATTCAAATCTTTTCTTTTGATTTGGGTAATTTCCGTAGCACACCCTTTAAATTCTTCGAGAAAATTAGAACAAGAATCATTGGGGTTAACACAACAGCCAGTCCAAATAATAATCCGGCTTTTTATCGCGCTTAGACACATATGCTATGGTTGTTCATGAAAGGTATAGGTGGTGCAGCGCCTCTGATATGAGTGTTTGTTCTGTAGTATAGTCGATCAAAGTACCCTTACTAGACCAACCATGCTAAAGAGGATTCCAACTCTAAATGTGCGGTTACCTAAATACCAACCGATACATTGTTGTATGACCTGGGTTTTAGATGGTATTCACCCCCTATCTTCAATACTTAAAGTTCAGACGGGATAAGGGAGCATAAAAGCTAAGCTTAGCTGCTGAGACTCTGAATAGGTTAGAAGCACAATAATAGGATTGCTGTGTTGTCAAACAGTGGAAGACTAGTATAAGCGGGAGCACTCTCTCCATTAATCGATGAGGAAAATGTCCCTATGAAACAAAAGGAATAGCTTGAAAATAAATGGGGCACATTAGTGCATACCTCCGTCTTCCTTGACGTGCGTTTGTCTAATTGCGATTGTGGTACCAGAAATACAACAAGCAATCTAGAGCGGATTGAGAATTGTTCATAACAATCCGGCCGCAAAGGACTCGTCTAACCCTATTCTTAATTAGGAAGGAAATTCTAAGTGTGGAGACAAAGCGAGGTGCTTGGATTCCAAGCGATGGACAGTTAGTACGTGAATGCAGGACCAAACTGCTTCTAAAAACTAAGATGTATCCGGTGATCTCGCATAAAAGCAGGAGTAACGAAACTAATTTGATTGCATAGAACTGTTCAATCCTTAAGGATGCGCAAAAATGAGAATTATCTATTAAGTCAGCAATGTTCAAACATCGGACAGAATGTTGATCAACGGTACTTAATTGTCTTGGGGTCGTTTGTCGCAATATGAAATGCCTATGAAAGCGAGAGCATAAAAACATGGCGTATTCGGAAGGATACGGAGCGGAATACCACGTGTTCATAATGTGACGGCCGAGCTGGATTCGTGGAGGCAATCTTTGTCTCACTAACTTGTCTACAACAACGGCATGGGTGCTGCAACCAGATCGAAATTTCCCACCTGTGGTCAAATTCAAGGTTTGCAACATTGGATCGTTTGCATGTGGTAACGAAAAGTTTAGATCAACGGGTGGTGCTAAACACTAAATGCAAAGCGTACAAAGAGGGAATTCGGATATGAATGAAAATAAGCCAGCAATGATGGACATGTTCATGCATATGCAAACAGTCACGGGCATTTGTATGAGATAAACAAACAACGCTCCATTTTTAATCTAACAATCCTAAGCTATGAAATAACATCATGCTAGACGTTTACACTTCAGACATCTTCCTGATCGAAATCCTTAGGTAATCGAGCAACGAAACCAGTGTGTCATCACGTTATACAGATCGATATCATACGGAAATTATAAATTGACGGTAGAATGAAGAATGTTTTCGCGGTGGCGGCCAGTGACGACGTATTGTTATGGAAAGTTCGTTCGTTCCCAAAGTAGTTGATTAAAAAATATTACTCATCACCCTAATGCATTTGGAGGCGAAAACGCTCTTCCCACTGCTAAAGGTACACGCTTTTACTGTCTACAAACCAATGTAACTTGATTTTTGTACAAGATGGGCTAAACTCTTGTCACCAAATTCTCGCGTTCGTGAGTTGCAAAATGGGATGATCCACGGAAGCAGAAACGTTGGCTATAGTTCCCGGGCAACTAATGAAACATGATACAATTAACTAGAAAGCAGCATCCCATAGATGACTTTGCGACATTACCTCCACTACCAAACCAAATAAATTGCCGCCGTAATTGATTCGAGTGTAGTAAACAACAAGCGCATACATGTTAGGGAGTCTAACACTTGATCCCAAAAACTCGCAAAACTACTTACTGATCAATTGGGGTGTAGATTAAACAGTCAATTTCAAAGATATGCACATGATAATTTATGGAATCTCTCGTTTACTTACAGCCGGAACATTGGCCTGGATTTCCTCAAATATTGTGCGACTTTCATCCGTGATCCTATCAAATTCTGGACATTCGTCTTTGTTTGCATCGAATTATTTCATCGCCCAGGTTTTGCTCCACTTATCAGAATTCTTCATTAGATGGGTCTAAGCTCGGAAGGACGCACGAGAACAATGACGTGCGAATCCGGGCTTTTGATGGTTTGGGTGTTTAACCAACCAGTATTGTTTGGTGACCTATGGCGTCATGAATACTGATGGGTTACAAGAGTGTACAGCGGGATGTTAACAACTTGTGAGAGCCACCAACATCGCTTCACTGTGTGAATAGCGCAGACACCCTGACCCATCCAATAAGAGGTCATTTCCCGCAACGATATGGAGGTCACGGGGTCAGTACGGTTGGTTCGCAGTGCGATCGACGTTACTGTTTTTCGCACACGATTACTGCTCAACCGACGCCCCCGTTTAATTGATTCCAACTACATTACTCTAGTGTTCAAATGTGTGACGCAATTCAATATCTCATCCTGACTGGATTTAGTGCCCGATAAGCTTAACTACTGCTACTAACAATGGGCAGTTTATGGGTAAATCTCCAAGTAACAAAGGGGACGAGTTGAACTCCGCGTACATGCTTGTTCTGTACATTGAAGCTTGTGGAAGAGGTTATGGAAAAATTGCTGACAAGTGTACAGCGGCATGCTTCAGCGTGAAAGCTACCATGAAAGTAGTCAGATAACTCAGTTAAATGAGAAGAGGGAGACCATTGCAAATAAAGACGTAGTAAGCAGAAAGTCGGCAAATGGAGAAATATAAGGCAGATTTAATGGGACCACAATTTAGCCTCATGCGTTGTATGGTCTGTGGAAGAGATTAGCTGATCCTAAGCAAGGAAGAACTACCACGTCCTGAGCAAAGCTTTGCTTTATTTTGCGTGCCATCTGATAGTAAGCGTGTACACAATGCATGCACACAATGACATATTTGTTTTCGTTTTGCTGACTGACAATGAGGCGGAAGTATTTGTCACCGTGAATTGGCAGGGACCGACGTGTCCTGGTCAGACCAAATTAAGCAGTAGGTTCCCGTGTTTGGATACGCAAAATATGGAACCTCAAAATTGGTATTCAACTCAGCAGGTGGGGGAGGTGCCTGTTGAAGTAGTGCCGCTTTAGTTGCAGTCAGCCAGTGCGGAGTGTGGAATGGAATATTTCGTTAGCCTGAGCAATCGTTGAATCCGGCCGTAATTTAGAACACGGTTTATGCACCTTCAGAGTTAGAACGGATTCTATGTACATAAACACACATCAGTGGTTAAAATGGCTATAATTTAAAGTCAGCCCGAGAGTGTATATGGTAATAACAAACATTCACAACGGCTTTCCATAGTTATTAAAGAATATCTTATGACATGCGACATGGTAGAAGAAAAGGCGAGGCGTAGGTTGACAAATCTATAAGAAGCATGCGGTTGCAAAGAAATACATCCAACCAGGAAGTACTCGGGCGCTCCTACTTTGAGCTGTTAAGAAGGATATGCTTCCGAAGCTATAGTTAACATCGCGTTTCGGCTACAGCGCACCTTTCATCCCACTTGTTTAGCCAAGCTCTTATAGAAATCCCGGTAAATACGACGATACTTAATGTAATAGAGGGGTGCATTTTAGATTTGGCAAGGCGGAATTTGACAGGAATGATGTTTAAGCTCAAATAAAAATGGTACTTAACAAAAGTGTTAGCAGATCTCTCGTTCAGAAGCGTGTCAACTATGGAAATATTTGTTCCACATTATTCAAACGAATCGTGGGTGGTAGTTTAATCTTAATTTATTTTGTGGTTGCGTTGGTATTCGCTCATCTGAAGATCGGGTTCATCATGGTTGTCCGGATATAACACAGTCATTACAATATATTGGTTACCAATGAAGCTGTATAAAAACGTATCAAACATGGCGCGAAGAAATGCAATGGAGGAGGAGTCGTAGGTTTCACATGCAGATATTGAACTCGCAATTGGTGACACCTTAATTTGTGGCCTTCATTGTAAACAGTTTTGCGGACGACCTGCTTTTGTATTTTGGAGTAAAGTTGTAATCTTAACGCAAAAACTTCCTCAGGTAAGTACATATTCACCTAAATGAAATAGCAAGATTCCACAAAATGTGAAAGCGTCCAAAACTGGTTAAATGTGACTCACTGTAAGCGAATGAAATGCATACAACCCTAATTTTTGACTTGAAGGAATCCGTTTCTACAGGTCTTCTAGAATATTTTCCAAAAGTGGTTTTTAGTATAAATACCAAGCCAAAATAAAATACATTTTGATGAAGCTAGAAAAGGAATGCCTTCACTTCACAGCATCTTTTGTGATTTGGTAGCATTTTGGGACAATACTGCGAGGATTTGTCCATAAACCTCAAACAAGCAATATCTCCCTGTAATCAAATCCCATTTTCCTAGCATGCTGATCGGATGCGATTTCTCGACAAAGAAAGTGTAAAAGAACAAAGAACATTTCTGGAGGCGTGACTGACAAGTCATTCGCGAAGTGTGCGTTCGCCTCTTCTGGCCATCTATGTGGAATTTCTATTAATGTAATTGACAACTTATTTGGTTTAACAAGTCATGCCAACTTTATTCGGCTTAAAATCACTTAGAATGAAAACTACAGGTACGCAACTTCCAAACACCACACATATGGTTCCATTCCATTCCTGCGTTTCTCGCTGAAGAAGAGAACCATCGAGCCACCTAAATGCAATGTCCTCAGCACCTACGTATTTGAGCCTACAAACAAGGATGCAGTAATCCAGACAGGTGTATGACTTGAGCGGTCTGGTTACATGACATTGACCTTGTTATCGGTACCATTCATTCCATTCCAACAGCCACCTAAACGATAGGTATGCAGTACATGACTGGTGTCGACGGAAGTTATGCTGTTTTAACGCCACAATGTTAGGTTCTTCTAAATAGGCCCCCATGATATAACTCATGTTCTTTTTACCGCAATTGACAAGATCACCTTGAATGTCAACAGACGATACCTAACGGGCTGGGGACCGCGTAGTAAGGACTTACTCTTCGTCCTTGCAAGCAAGAAAAATATTAACCATGGCTTCAAGAGCAACGCAGCCGCCAAGCGCAGCGTTTCCAGTAGAGGGCATCAGCTTTGGGAGAAGTGTTGGTGCAAATGTTTTTTATATATATCACTCGTAAGCATTAGGGTCTTAGTTGTAATTATTTTAAAGTATTCATATCGGTAGTCCACAAGCTACATAGCACAGCCCAGTCCGAAAAAGCACCAGACGAGTTTCGCTCTATTGTGGTTCGTCAGTGGTGTGCATTCCCACTGTACAGTAATGGGTATCGAACCCATGACCGCTAGATTTTGATGCCAACCAGCCAGCTGCCTAAGCCACTGGGCCATGGGTGGCGTCGACTTGGCTGCTAAATTTGCAAACTAACTGGGATATAGCACCACCTAACTTCCACTGTCACTGACAGTGGCTAGCCTGCGAGGTGATGACGTCCCCTCACAAGACGTTATTTCCAAAGCATCTGAAACTAGAAAAGACATTTCCGGACTAGACTGTGCTATGTAGGGTATGCTTTTTGTCAGCAAAAAGGCCTTCTGGACACCTAGTGCTGGTGCGTTACTTATACACATTGACATGTGTGATACAGTAGATTCCCTACACAGGTATGTGCTTCCTATTTCGATGGTTTGCTCTAGACCGACAAATTTGTCATCATAGTTTCCTCCTGAATCTTCCTCCATCCTGATAATAGTGTTGGCAGGTATAGGAGAATTGATCAGCAGTAGTCTGACATCTGTTTCGAAATAATAATAATGTGCCTTAATTTTTCTAGAAAACTAGATGGTAACCCCGAGTTCGTAGCACATTGTTGTTCTGACGAGTATATCTAGTGCCTATAGACCTGATTCGTATAACGAAAGATATTCAAAGCTTAACTTTCACAAAGTAATTCCTTTGAATTTTCCATTGACGGGGGTGCTGCTATCATGAGTTCTGACTACGTTGTACGAATTGCACATATAGTATCAAGCCAGTTTACCGACAACCATGGGCAAAATGCATAGAGGGGCATTTTTCAGTTGCATCTGAAGGTTTGCATGCGCTTCACATACCGCTTTAAATGCTCTTATGGTCATGCGACCATACATATTAGAGCTTAACACCCAACAAGTCTTGAGTTCCGTCTTCCTATTTCTCATCAGGTGTGCCGCTCTCAGTTACTTGCTTGCGAGTTTTTTCTTTCATTTTTGTTGGGGCTATGACGTCGACTAGATGCAAGAATCAACCAGCCGTCATGCTTCTATGTTGACCGTCCTACACATCGCGTGTGCGCTCATTCATAAATCGGTTAGGGCTAGCAAATGCGAGGCCGATCACGTCAATCAACATTTTCAATTAATTTTAACTCCCAATGTTCAGTCGTGCTGTTGATAATATGTAAAACAAAACAAGCGTTCTTGTTCTACAAACAACAATCGTATAGCGATACCTCTGGCCGCTTTTGCCAATCTCTGCTAATTAGGGCGCTAGGTGACATCATTTTCGCTCTGAATGTCAAAGTTTACAATACGGACGTCCGTTCGAACCTCCAGTAGGTAGCAAAATTTGGATTATGAAGTAACCAAACAAACTGATGCTTCTTAAATTCGACCGTCATCGCATTTACAGCTTAAATCATAGCTTTTGGAAACACCGCCTGCTGCGCCGCGCATTTTATGCAGCAAGAGCTAGTAAACCGCTCAGCGCAGTTATATCACGCACCAGGCTCAAAAGGTTCATTTCAATGGGAATCGCGGTCAACATTGAGGTTGCATGTCGCAATGCACACAACGCACACTTTGAAATGTCCCCCAATATATATGATTATTCGTTGTGCTAAACGTTGCTCGTCTTGACCCAGTGGTTAGCGTTGGCGATCACAATTAACACTCCAATGGTCTCGTGTCCAATGCCTGCTAACTCTATTGTTGGGATGTAATAACAAAGAAACACATCATAGGAGTGCAGTGTTT